ACTTTTTGGCCGACTTTGTCGCATCAACTCGTTACCAGCCTCACTATTTCAGTGGGAGAAGAACACACACATCTGTCACATACCTAAGCAATGGTAGAGGTCATATACTGTAAACTACTCGGCAGTGTCAATAATGTATGGGCCAGAGTCACGGGCCAGAGTTAGGCACACTCAAAATTTCTTCAGGGTTAGGGTTAGGGTTAGTTACTTAGTGGGTGGATGTCAAGGACTCCTGCATGGGCTCGGTGAGACAGACAACACTGATGTAGCAGAGTCAGAAGTTACAATTTAATTTTATGTAACTACTTTAGAAAATACAAGTCTGCTCTTCCTTCCTTTTTTAGCTGACGCTGAAACCATCGAGACCTGCTTCATTTAATGAACCTCGCAGGATGTTTGGTCTGAAGGTCACTGGAGACCCAGAAGCCACAGTGGGTCTGGTGGCAGTTGACAAAGGGGTCTATGTCCTAAACAACAAGCACCGCCTCACGCAGAAAAAGGTCATTTCTTTATACTTTCTTTCTGTTAAATGTTTTATTCTTAATCTGAACCCTCTTGTGAGTGAGGTTTAAGGTTGGTTTTATTTCTGTGTGTGTAATGACTTCCAATTTGCTCAGGTGTGGGACATTGTAGAGAAGTACGACACAGGCTGCACACCAGGTGGAAGGAAGGACAGCATAAGGATAGCATGTGTTCTATGATGCTGCTTCCTCCTTTTACTAGATTTGTACTTTATGGGTATGTTTGAGTTCACTGCTTATAGCATCTCTAAGGGATGTAAGCAAGTTGCAAAAACACAACTGAATGGGTCAAATAATACTCCACCAATGATACTCCTTGTGAGAGGCTGACCTGGCAGGCATGAGGAGTCAGAGGTAAATAAAGAATGTTGGTTTTATTTACCCAAACACCTAAACCAGTTTAGAAAATATACAATGAAGTTCTGGGCCCATAAAAGAGGTCAAGTAAAATTAATCCAGGATACATTAATTTAACATGAACTGATCAAACTAAATTGACCTTACAAACTGAGACATGGGAAAAACTTAAGATAATAATAATAATAATAATAATAATAATACATTTATAGAGTGCTTTTCAAGAAACTGCAAGACACTTCACATGAGTTAAAAAGGAAAATAAAAAGGTAAAAAACAACAAACAACACACTAAGAAATTATAGTTATATCTACAACACTGAACAATAATACATTGTTAAAACCATTAAAGGCAGGTCTGAAAAGGTGGGTTTTCATCAGTGATTTGAAGTTGGATGGATCAGTACAGTCTAGGATTTCTTTGGGGAGAGAGTTCCAGAGGAAGGGGGCAGCAATAGAGAAGACTCTGTCGCCCCAGGTACGATGCTTGGTCCTCAGTGGTGCAGACAGGAGGTTGGCATCAGAAGAGCGGAGGCTTTGGGAAGGAGTGTGGAGCAGGTCTGCAAGGTAGGAGGGGGCCTAGTTGTGAAGGGCTTTGTGAGTGAGGAGAAGGACTTTAAATAGGATCCGTTGTTGGACAGGGAGCCAGCAGAGGTTCTGTAGGACAGGGGTGATGTAGTCACATATGGGTGAGCAGGCAAGCAGCAGAGTTCTGGATGTACTGAAGTTTTTTTAAGGACTTTAGAAGATGTACCATATAAGATGCTGTTGCAATAGTCACTTCTGGATGTGATGAAAGCGTAGATGAGGGTCTCAGCAGCAAAAGAGGAGAGTGAGGAGCGGAGGCGTGCAATGTTTTTCAGGGCGGAGAAAGCAGTTCTGGTGATTTGGTTGACATGGTGTTCAAAGGAGAGGTTGCTGTCAAAGATGACTCTGAGGTTGCAAATGTGTTGGGAAAGAGACAGAGTGATGCTGTTAATGAGGCTGAAGTTGTTCATGTTTTTGATGAGGGATTTGGGACCGATGATGATTATTTCAGATTTGTCACAGTTGAGTTTATGGAAGTTGGCATGCATCCATGATTTGATTTCAGTGAGGCAGTCTGTCAGAGTGGAGTGGGTTGTGGGTGTTATGGACTTAGTGGAGATGTAGAGCTGGACGTCATCGGCATAACAGTGGAAGCAGAGACCGTGGCGGCCTATGAGGTTACCAAGTGGGAGAATGTACAGGATGAACAGGAGAGGACCGAGCACTGAACCCTGGGGGATGCCTTGGGCCAGGGGAGCAGTGGAGGAGGTGCAGTTGTTGGTATTGATGAACTGTTGTCTGTTTGTGAGATATGACCTTAGCCGGGAGAAGGCAGCACTAGTGATGTTGAGGGAGGACTGAAGGCGGGAGAGAAGAATGGTGTGGTTGATGGTGTCAAAAGCTGCAGTGAGGTCCAGGAGGATGAGAATGTTGAGGTATTCAGCATCTGAGTAGAGCAGGAGGTCGTTGGTGACTTTGAGGAGGGCTGTTTCAGTGCTGTGTTGGGAGCGGAAACCGGATTGAAATGGTTTAAACATGTCATTGGAGACGAGGTGGGCTTTGAGTTAGGAGGCAACAACATGTTCCAGTATTTTTGACAGAAAGAGAAGATTGGACATGGGGCAGAAATTGCTCATGGTGTCAGGGTTAAGACCAAGTTTTTTGAGGATTGGGGTGACAGCAGCAAGTTTGAGTGTTTGGGGTACAGAACCAGTGCTGAAGGAGGAGTTGATGATTTCAGTGACGAGTGAGATGACTGGGAGACATTCCTTGACGAGATTGGATGGGATGGGATCCAGGGTGCAAGTGGAGCTCTTCATTCCTACCATGAAGTTGGACAGCTCCATGGGGGAAAGAGGGGAAAACTGAGACTGGGGCGGTCGCATTTGAATTATATGGTAAACAACTACGCAAAAAAAGTCGGATCTCAGCAAAAAATTGAGCATTAAGACCTGCAGTGTGAACGTAGCCTTATATAGTGGCTGATCAGGCCATTCTGACACACAGGGGGATTGACTAAAACAACCTTTAAACAAACTACAATAACCACAAAACATATCAAGATAACGCTACCTAATATTAACTGGGAAAAATATTGAAATAGTATCAAAAGCATAATTGTAAAAGTAATAACAACAAAATAAAACTGCCCCTCCCCATGATGCATGAGAACATGGTGCAGTCCAATTGTCAATCAACACCATGTAAGCAGGTCTGATTCAGCCAGAACTCCTTCTGTTGACCAGCCAAACAGCTCCAGCAGCAATTCCCCAGGAACTGGTAACTCAAAGAAAACTAAATTATTTCCACAAAGCATAACTTGAGATATAACAAATCCTTTTGTCTTAGCCATGGAGTCAACATTGGGCACCAAATCTGCCGGTGGGTGATGTCATTATTTGGTCTATTAGGTTTTGTTCATTTTTATATTTCATGACACAAAAACAAGCACAACCAATTGTCTTTTAGATAATAAAATATATAAATATATCTGCAGTCTAGTTTTTTAATCCACTCTCTTTATACCACACTGTTTGGATACAGGGACATTACTGTGTCAAATGACCTTTCCATTATTTAAGGTATCATATCACAGACAGTTTATACTTGTTGGGTTATATTTAGGAGCTAGTCTATTTGTTTGTTTGTTTCTCATTACAGATTTGAAGTGTCCATCCCCCATCGGAGGAAACGGGCCAGCATGATAAGGAATGTCAAGAAGTAAGAATCATAGCTCAAATTAACCAATGACTACACCTTTGCATTACAGTACAGGATATACAAAATGTTGACGTTAGCTGACGTTTAAAATATGTGTCTATGTAATGAGATGTTGCAGCAGGTGACAGTAGATAATACATGCAGAATGTGCCAACAAAAAATATTATTTATAAATCAATAGCTATAGCACCTCTTAACTGTTGTAACCTGTTGCGATTGTTAATTGCTTTTTTTTAATGTAATCTCTTAAACCCTTTTTCTCAATTTCTGGATCAATAAAAAGGATGGGGAGAACCCTGGGTGGTCATGCTGGTAGTTAGAAATAAATCAAAATTGTAATCTTTTGTAATTACACTTTAGGTGAGGAGGATGACAGTTACATGGACAGCAATGAAA